ATGCTATGTATATATATATATATATAAATGTAAATCAATGCATAGTTAGTAAGAATGAATGCCATAAAAGAAAACGTAAACAGTACATAATGGACATGAAGGGATGCCCATATGTAAATAAAAATGGTGTGTTAATAGTATTTAAAGAGCCTCCCATGATGATTATAAAAGATACATGAAAATTTGGTACTTTGGTGCAATACATGTATATTAATTTATCATTTAATGTACACAGGGAAAATAAAGAATAATGGGGAATGATATGCAGAAGGGTAAGTATGTTGGGTTTACTAAGAATAATTCCGATAATTGTATGAAAGAATTACGAAATATGAAATTTAATTCGTCATTCAATAGTTATAAAATACTTATGTATAAATTGTGCTATTTTTACAGTATTATGTCTCACTAAGTAAATACTTAATGTGGGTTGATTTCACGCATAAGTAAAGGCAAAGATTAGTTGCGTAAGGAGTGCAACAGTAGGAACATCAATCATCAATTAAGGTTGACCCATTAGTAACGTTAGGACAATCTTATTCCTTTTGAAAATTTAGTTGGTATGTAATTAAAGTATGAAAAATTCTTGGAATTATATTTAAGTATAACCTATTATCATATTTCAATTAATGTATGGCTTTATTTTAAAAAAATTATGTTTTACGAAAATCTGGAAACAAAATTTTACGGGGTTTTAAAAGAGAAAATATTTTAAAAGTGATGTGACATATGTATTTTGTGTACATAAAGGTATATGGGATATGAGTGTTACATTTATTGGTATTAGAGCTGTAGATTTAGCCGATTCTCGACCGAAATCGAATGTATTTTAATGTAAGAATGATTACATGCCATTAAGATTGTCAAAGTTACTGATATGGTGTCAATTAGAGGGTGATTGATGTCACTCCTTATTTACTTGAGTGTTATTCTTATGTATGTCCTAATATATGTCGGTAACTAAGGACTAAGGTAAGAAAGTAGATGATATTGAAAATAAGGTCGAGATTAAAATCGAACCAAGAGAATTCGACATGCTTTTAGTATCATACCGTAAAAGGGTAGAAGTTGCTAGGGATTTTCCTCCATTATGTGGAAGGAATGCCCCAGTGTTTAGAGATGATTCTACATTTGAGGAATTTATTAAAAATTTTGAACGGTTTACAAGAGAAGTAGAATCGGATGAGGATCCATAGGAGATTTTTGAATATAGTGATGATTCCGAGATTTCTTCCAGTAAGCTTAATTAATTGAGAAATATTTATGTGAAACATTAAATTGTTCAAAGCGTTGTTAATTTGAGTAAGAGTGAAGGTGTAAGTGGTAAATACATTGACCGCTAAAAGCCTATAGAAAGATGAATTATTAGTGGATCAAGTGATTATGAGTTTGTTTAAGAGTAAATTTGGTTACTAGTGTAATTTTTGCATTAACTACTATGAGGTTATTGCTACAAAGTTGTCAAGACTTATTATTTAATAATGTGGATAGTTAGACTTCCATAGTCAAGAGAGAAAATGTTTCAATTGCTTGTGAATATTTTAAATAGATCTGAAAGGTTACACCAATTTTCTCAAGAAGGAAATGAAAGATTTTAAATTAAAAGTATTCTATTTAACTTAATCTCGAGTGAGATGATAGCAATAAAACCTAGTGGGTCATGTTACAAAGATGAGTTGGACAGGTAGTAAACAATTGATAAAGATTCCAGGGGCTATGTTTCCGGTAAACCTGATGAAATTATCATTTATAAGTTAAAACCATATTCACTATAAGTTGTTTGTCGCTAGAGATGACTATTTCAGAAAGATGTAGAGGCTATGGAAATTATAGCTTTTAGAGAGAAAGTAAAATCATCGTTCAAGGTGATATCGATAATGATTGTGAAGAAACTTATGTCAGAAAGATATATATATATATATATATATATATATATATATATATATATATAACTTTTATGCTTAATGAGATAGATACTAAAATAATTAAAGTAAAATTGTTTGATAATTTCAAAAAAAAATATGGGAAATTATAGATGACTTTTCAGGTAAATTTATTAAGTTACCTCTATATCGAGAGTTGGAATTCAAGGATAATATTTATTAAGGTATTGAACATGTTTCTATGATTTAGTATTAAATGACTTAAGTGGGTCAAGAGAATTAGAGACTCAATTTTAAGAGTTGATTGATCAAAGTTTTATCAACTCGAGTATTTCATCTTGGGAATTATGTGTGATATTAGCGAAAAGAAAGATAAATATATGTGGTTATACATAGATTTTGACAGTTAAATAACACTTTTTGAGAGAAGAACTTGTTTGACAAACTATTCAAATGTGAAACATTGGTTAACAGAGATCGTTTCCTTTGACCATGTTGTTTCGGCATAAGGTAAAAGAGTAGATCTTAAGAAAAACTCATGTTGTAGTAATTTGGAAACTCCTAAAGAATGATCCTGAAGTATATATTTCTTTGGGGCCTGCTATTTACTATCGAAGCTTAGTGAAAAACTTTTCGACGTTAGCTTTGTTGATATTCATGTTTTAAGGAAATATATGTCTTTTTGTAGAATACATAAAAAAGTCAAGAGGGTTTTGAAATATTAAAGAGGATTGTAACAGAGATACCAATGTTTATACAACTTAATTTGGGTAAAGATTGTGTGGTTTTTACTAATGCATCTATCAACGGGTAGGGAAGTGTGCTTATGCATAAAGGTAAGGTTGTGGCATATGCCTCAATAAAGTTAAAGACTCACAATAGGAATTATCTATGTATGATTTAGAGTCAGCCGTAGTTGAGTAGATTAAAAATTTGATGTCATTAATTGTATAGGGAGCGACGCTATAGTTGTGCTATTACAAAAGTCTTATAATGATCTAAAGAGAAAAGTAGTTGTGTAGCAAGAAAGTGATAAAGTTTCAATGAAAGTATCGTTTTGGAATGAAGTATTGCGATTTGGATTGAGTCCGAGAATTATTGAACCTTAAAAGATTTTATCAGTTAGCTTTTGTCTCCCGAAATGGACAAGACCTATAATGTTTTAGGTGTTATTGCTTATTAATGACCAATCAAATCCATTACATGTTCTTACTTTGGGTAATGAGATTTTATTAAAATTGAATTATGAAAAAGAACCAATACATATTTGGACTATAGAAATACAGAAACCACGTAACAAAACTATTTCTTTAGTTGAAGTATTATGGTAAATGCATAAAGTCTTTAAATTCGAGGATGAATTTTCTTAAGGGGGAGAATTATAATAATTAGTTTGGAATTAATTTGAAGACTAAATTGAATAAGTAGTAAAGTATAATAAATGATCAAGTAACACCAATTAGTAAGAATTGTAATATTAAAAAGGGATTTTAGTCTTTTAGAATGAAATGAATTTAAATCCCATTTAGAGTTGGGGATTTAAGAGGAAGGGGAAGTGAAATATTATGCTTAGTCATTTTTCTCTCATTTTTCTTTTTCTCGTGGTTAAGTATCCTCCTCCATAGTTTAAGGTAAGTTTCATCTAGTTAATGTTTCCTTTCGATTTTGGTTGGTTCTTGCAACCTCAAGTGATATATAAGCTAATGAGAGGGTTAAATAGGATTAAAACAAAGATATGAATGATATATTAGAGATTAAAGAAAATGGGTTTTGAAATGATATATTAAGATAAGAGTGTTTATTGATGTTTATTAGAAGTTTTGACTTTTCAAAGAGGTAAATGAAAGATTGAAAGCATTGGATGAGTTTAAAAACAAGAAAATGTAGTGTGATTCTTAGAATCCATTGATTTTGAAGGATGTTAGATGTTTTAAGTAGCTAAATGAAGGAAAGTTAGTATGAATAAGTAAAGAAGAGTTTAATAGTATTGAATGGTGTAATTATAATGAAATTGGACCCAGTTTGGGTGATAATCGAGTTAAAAACTAGAATTCTGGGCACGGGTATCGGTACTGATAGAACAGTACCGATACTATAGGCTTAAAATCAATAGAATCCGTTGAGTAGTATCGATACCTATGCAAGCAGTATCAATACAAAGAGAGGGGTATCGATACTATGAGGATGGTATCGATACCATTGTTAATAGAATGCATAAATGGTATCGGTACCATGATGGAGTATCGGTACCATAGTATAGTAGTATCGATACCATGGTAGTGGTATCGATACTATTGAGTTAGAAATATGACGATAAGCTATGATTGTTATAGAAAATATAATAACATGTACTCTTGAGTAATATTTTAGTATAAATGTTAGGAAATATACTATCAATTGATATTGTATATGTCTATATGGATACTTGAGTAGATCAAAATCAAGCTCCCGAGTCAAGCAAAACAAAAGGCAAAGGCAAAGTACATGAGTAATTAACTTTGCGTTTTGTATATATTAGCGAGGCAATCCAGGTGAGTACATTTACTGTATGCAATAGAGATGAAGACAATTCGTAATGAGTCAAGTTAGAATATTTTAATTTTAATGTATGTTGTACTTTAGTTAATATGTTTTTATTTCATGTGTGGAAAAGATATTGTGATTAAGTTTTAGAGTATGAACTGCTCTAAAATGAATGAATAAATAATAATGCATATGGGTGCATTATAGGCATGAACGGATGCCAAAATAATAATGCATATGAGTGCAATATTGGCATGAATGGATGCCAAAATAATAATACATATGTGTGCATTATAGGCTTGAACGGATGCCAAAATAATAATGCATATGGGTGCATTATAGGCATTAAAGGATGCCAAAATAATAATGCATATGGGTACATTATAGGCATGAAAGAATTACATAACTAAAAATGCATGAAATGACGCATTAAGGCATAAAAGTATGTCATAACTAAAAAAACATGAACGGTTGCATTAAGGCAATAAAGGATGCCATAATTGAAATTAACGAATAGTTACTAAAGAAAAATGAAAAGAAAAATGTATAAGAAAGAAAGTTATGTTGAACATACTATGGATATTTATGATTAGAATTATGAAAGAAGTTTGGTTTCAATAATAGAGACTTATCTAATCCTTATGGATGATACAAATTAGTTCAAAACTAAGAAAATTCATCATAAGTTTATGAACTTTCATATTGGTAGTGGGTGTGCAACCCATGTAAATTATAGAAATGCTTGGGGAACGACTGTTTTGGCACTACAGGTGTAAACTATAGAATTTACAATTAAATTAATTAGTTAATTGATAATATGAATAATCATTAGAGAAAAATCTATTTAAAAATAAATGATTAATGCAAGTTAGATGAAAGGCTAAATGCCTTTGGGTAAAAGACTAAAGGAATTATAATGCATTATGATATAAACTATGCAAAAGTGGTATGAAAGAATGCTATGTATATATATATAAATTATACATCAATGCATAGTTAGTAAGAATGAATGACATAAAAGAAAACGTAAACAATACATAATGGGCATGAAGGGATGCCCAAATGTAAATACAAAATGGTGTGTTAACAGTATTTAAGGAGCCGCCCATGATGATTATAAAAGATACATGATCAATTGGCATTTTGATACAATACATGTATATTAATTTCTCATTTAATGTACAAAGGGAAAATAAAGAATAATGGGGAATAATATGCAGAAGGATAAGTATGCTGGGTTTACTAAGAATAATTCTAATAATTGTATGAAAGAATTACAGAATATGAAATTTAATTCCTCATTCAATAGTTATAAAATACTTCTGTATAGATTGTGCTATCTTAACAGTATTATGTCTCACTAAATAAATATTTAATGTGGGTTGATTTCACGCGTAGGTAAAGGCAAATATTAGTTGCGTAAGGAGTGCAGCAGTAGCAACAGCGATCATCAATTAATGTTGACCCGTTAGTAACGTTAGGACAATCCTATTCCTTTTGAAAATTTAGTTGGCATGTAATTAAAGTATGATAAATGCTCAGAATTGTATTTAAGTAGAACCACTTATCACATTTCAATTAATGTTTGGCTTTATTTTAAAAAATGGCATATTTTACGAAAATCTGGAAACAAAATATTAAGGGTTTTTAAAAAAGGAATATTTTAAAAGTGACGTGACATACGTATTTCGTGTATGGAAAGGTATATGGGATATGGTTGTTACAGAAGATGTAACCAAAAAAATAATGTATGGAAGAAGTCGATCGGAGAACATGTTTTAAATAAGTCGGTTGGAATATTGACGTTTTCAATCTCTTAATATCTGTCAACTTGTGTTTTTTCCAACTATGATGGTAGATTTCATGACATCATGAATATGAAGGTGAGGTTTAATATCAACATGTTTTTCTGGTCTCAATAACTCAATCAAGAGTTTATATCATGTCCGAACTCCCAAACATTGCCACGAGAAATCATAATTTCCCTTATAAAATAACATTCAAGGAACATGCAAAAACTAAAATAAAATTAAATTAAAATAGGACTAAAATATAAACAGTCAAATCATTATGTCAAAAATTAAAATAAAATAAAGTGCAAAAGTTACTAAAATGAACATTTTTTATAATAAGTGTTAAATTTACAAAGGATAAAAATAAATAAGACATGGAGACCAAATTAAAATAAAATAAAATTGCATAGCCAAATTAAATTAAATAAAAAAATAGATTATAGTTCAAAATATAAACATGCAGAAACTACAGGGACTATTTTGCAATTATTCGTTTCTTTGTAGCCTAAAACATGCATTCGAACAAAAATGGATAAATTACCTAATCAGTCTAAAAACATTAAAATAAATAAATCGTCACTACACATGATTGAAAAGCAAAAACACACTAAACATGGAGGGATTAATATGCAAATAACCCTAAAATATATAACATGAACAAAAGTGGGTAACTTATAGAATTTGTCTCTACATGTGACCAACATACAAAATAAGCTAAAGTTAGGGGGACTAAAAAATTATCCCATAAATTATAAAACATACATGGAAATGGGTAAATATATATTTCAGTCCTTACAGGTGACTATTTTGTAAAATTGTGCTTAAAGTCAGGGGACCTAAGCATGACTTTACCCAAAATTTTTCTATAAAAGTCATTTTTCCTTTTTTTCCATTTCAAACAGATTTATAAAAAAACCAAAAAAATCTCTCTTTTCTTTTCTTTCCTCGGCCAGCGCACTGTCGACTCCCTACACCGACTCTGACCACTGTCCGATCGCCACACACTACTTTCGAAAACCCTAAGTCAAGCCAAAAACAAAGCCTCACTCTGATCCTTCCTCTCAAGCATAGATCTAAAGCCAAAACTTCCTAAAAAAATGCCTAAAGACCCGAAAAGCCCCGTGATCTTTTGATTTTTTCACACTCTGGCGACCTCCGACAAAGACAAATCGACCCCTCTCCAATTTGACTCCCCACTCTAAGGTTGTAACATCCCGGAAAAAAATTGTAATTAAACAATTTGGCGAAAACCTAAGCAGTCACATATCTCATTCAGAAATTCTATTTATATTTAAAAACAACTTATAAAACATTAAAAGTAATACGGATCAAAATATCGATAATATGGTTATATCCAAAACAATAGCAAAATACATGTTACCAAATACAACTTAAAAACATGTAGAGGTATTCATTCGTACGAGTAAAAGTAGTTGATCTCCCCTGATGCCAAATCTGCTAGTATACGGTCTATTGTTATCTGAAAATGGTAAAATTTACAAAATGAGCTAAAAAGCAAGTGTGCTCCATACAGTGTAAAAATAAACATACAGATAAAATATTTCAATAAAATCATTTTATCAAACTTGTTTTAAAAACATGAACACTAATCCCATCCAATCACTAGAATGTGTAGGTTCTACAGAACCATACACCCACCTGCACACCATTAAGGACTTGCCCTAAGCACAAAGTTGAGGAGCATGCGGTAATAACTGCCCCATCTAATCACTCCGATCACCAAAATGTGTAGGTTCCCCAGAACCATACACCCATCTGTACACCAGTAAGGACTTACCCTGAGCACACAACAAAGGAGCCTGAAATATTTCCTTCAATAATACCCCTAATGACAGTAATAAACATATATAGAGTGAAACAATAATCAATATATATTCAGAAATCAGGTATAAAACACCTTAACCAAAAATCGTATCAGAAATATGCAATAACTCAAATATCAAATAAACAGTATTCCGAACATCAGATATCGTCTCATTAAAATATTTAGTATCCTATGAAATGTACAATCTAGCCAGTTTGTCCAGAGAATAATTAACCCGAATAGGGATAAAGTGTGTTACTTAGTGAGTCGATCAATAATCACCCAAATAGAATCCTTTTTGGAAGGAGTCAGAGGAAGACCAGTAACGAAGTCCATCGTAATGCGCGCCCATTCCCATTCAGGAATCTTAATTGATTGTAATAATCCAGATGGATATTGGTGCTCTACCTTAACCTGCTGACAAATCAAACACCTCATCATAAAATCTAAAATATTCTTTTTCATACCAGTCCAAAAGTAGCGCTCTTTGAGATTATTGTACATTTTATCCCCGCCAGGATGCATAGCATAAGGACTACTATGATCCTCCTGAAGAATAACCCGCCTCAACTTATCATCTTTATTGACACAATAACGACCGTGAAAGGAAAAAATGCCATCCTGATCTACAGTATACTCTGAACTCGATCCCTCTTTAACTTGTTCAATAATGGGAAGTGTCGTAACCGGTTTTCGCCTGGGCACAAAATTTTATTTGGCGGGAAAAATAAAAATGAATAAATAAATAATTTTGAGTTAAGAAATATTTTGGGTGTCGTCATTGACCTTTTTTGGTTAGGTAAGTCAAATACCTAAAAATAATCTTTTACAATAGTTTTTAAGAAAATATAATTTAAAAGAAAAACTGATCTATGTATAACCAAAAAATTAAAAAAAAATTGTGGTAAGTTACGTTTAGGGAAGGATTAGCACCCCTAAAACGGCCAAAATTGGTACTCATTAATTATTAATTGTCTCTATTATTTGAAATTTAAATATTCAAATATATTTAATTTATAATCTTGTTATTTCAAATTTATTATCATAATTTTAAGAAAATCTATTAATTTATATATATATATATATATATATATATATATATTTATTTATTTATAAATATCAGAAAAAGACTTCTAGGTGCTTTAAGGCATCTCTTCTCTTAATATTAAAATATAAATAAATATTAATAAAACATTTATTAAAAATAGATTAATATATTTATATATATATATAAATAAATTATTTATTTATTTAAAAATATCAGAAAATAGATATCTAGTAGCTTTAAGACTGCCCTTTCTTAATATTGAAAAATAAATATATATTAAAATATGATTTTTTTTCTTAAAAGTAATTTATAAAATTAAATTTATAACTAGGATTTTAATAGAAAACAAATAGAATAAATAAATATATTTATACGACTTAAGATAATAATAAAATAATAATGAAAATAATAATTTAAACATATATCAAAAATAATAATAAAACAAAACAAAATAATCAAAATCAAAATAAAAGAAATTAAAAGCAATAATATTAAAATGCAAAATATATTAAATGAAAAATATCAAACTATTTAGGGATTAAAATATAAAATATATAAATTAATGGCCCTTATTCTAAGTATTATAAAAATATAATTACTAATAGTGTAATTAACCTTTAATTATTAAATAATGATTAAAATAAAATTTATCAAAATTAAAGGCTCTAACTCGAAATAAAAAAAACTAAGTGCTAATAATGTAATTTAGCCTTATTTAATTAATTTGGGTTAAAATGTAAATTATAAAAATTATAAGGGCTAAATACATTATTTATCCTAAATATTATATAAACAATGTAATGACTGAATTATAATAAAATAAAATTAAGATACTAAATTAAAATGATTATAACTCAATTTAAGTGATCAACTCGTAAAGTTACAAAACTGCAGATATCGCGGAAAGGGTTTACTCTTTTTTCCTCTTTTCCTCTTTTCCTTCTCTCTCTAAACTTGAGAAGACATTTTCTCTCTCTAAAATTGAGAAGGAATTTTCTCTCTCTAAATGAGAGAAGGAATTTTCTCTCTGTCTTCTCTCTACAATAGAGGGATTTCAGTTTCCGGCCTGCCGCCGTGTTTCATCCCAAATCGAAGCTTATTTGGTCCTCAAACCAAATCCGGCCTTCCTTAGTTCTAAAAGTCTCTCAAATAGCCTAGATTTATAGTTTTACCTTTGAAATCCAACGATTTCCGTTGGCGTGGGGAGGCTCTCCGATGATCACTTGTAAGTTTCTCGATCTATTTCCTTTATTTTTCTATTTGATGTTCTGTTTTGCCGTTGGTTGCTGTTTTGTTCTGCTCTGTTGGTTGTTTGCTTTCTCTCGGGTTCCTCTCTACATCCTCTCTTTTTCTCTTTTGCAGGTTTAGTGGCTTTATAGCCACCATGGTGATGGCCTCGGACCAGTTCAAAAAGGGGCTCTTCGGTGAGTCACCGAACTATGGTGGTGACTCAACATAGAGTTGCAAAGTGGAGGGGCAGTTGGATCTTCTTGAGCATTCTAGTGAAGCGGTGGCAGCAACTTCCTGAGGAGGCGGGGTGGTGGCAGCAAGGGAAACGGTGACGTGGCCATTCTGGAAGTAGTGGCGACTGAATGATAACTTAGGGTTATGAAACCCTAGGGCTTCATGCTGGCATCCTGTGGACCGTTGGATCTCTCAGATCCAATGGTTGATAGAAGCGGCAGATGGGTGCATGGGATGTAAACCCTAGTTGTATTTTAGGGTTACTCTTAGGCTAGCTGTTCGGTCTTGTAAATCGAGTCTGGGTTCTTGTTATTGGGCTTATATTATTTATTTAATAATAATATGATTATTAATAATAATATATAATAATAATAATAATATATAATAATAATAAAAATAAATGGATGAAAAAATTAGTATCTTCAGCTGCCCCTCTTTGCTCATTCTTATGTTAACAAGAATAGGGCAAACACAAAAAGATAATAAGTTTTTTATCCATTTGACTTCACTTGATTACGATGGCCATGTTGAACAAGTTCTTCTCTGGGATTAGTTCTTCTTATTATGAACTTTTCCACTGGGGATGACAATCTATCTTTTTCTGTGATGTAATTTAGCAAAAAGTTGAACAAATTCTTTTCATTATGAATTTCTTCTCATTCTTCAAATGAGTTCTTCTTATTATGAACTCCTTCTGGAAATGCTAATCTTCAAAAGAAGGGTTGTTAATTTGGCTTCATATGTGATGAATTAAGGCAAGGTTAAACAAGTTCTTCTCATTATGAACTTCTTCTTCCTTCTTCAGATGAGTTCTTCTCATTATGAACACTTCTGGAAATGTTGATGTTGATCTATCTCCTTCTATGATAGAATCAAATAAAGGTTGAATAAGTTCTTCTCATTATGAACTTTCTCTGGAAAAGTTGATCCATCGAGTGATGAATTCAAACAAAAGGTTTGAACAAAATCTTCTCATTATGAATTTCTTTTCCTTCTTCAGATGAGTTCTACTCATTATGAACACTTCTGGAAATGTTGATGCTGATCATCTCCTTCTGTGATAGAATCAAACAAAGGTTGAACAAGCTCTTCTCATTATGAACTTCTTCTTCCTCTTCAGATAAGTTATTCTCATTATGAACTTTCTCTAGAAAAGTTTATGCATCGATGATACATGCATCACAAGGCTCACATCAAAGGAAGAAGTAATAACTCTTCCAAATGATCCACTCGTCCAAGCTTTGGAAAAGAAGATCAGAACAGCAGCAGACTTACGACAACTTTTTTAATGGGATCTTGATCTTATTTTGTCAACATAGCTTCTGGAGATAAAACCGTCTGTCCCTTATCTTTCCAACGGTTCTTGAATCGCATCAATCCGATATCGGGAACTCAATATATAGCCATTTTACTGAAGACGATGCATGCAGAAAATCTTATGCGAGATTAATACGGGATTTTGTAAATATTACGAATTTTCAATATTTTTATTGATTATTTGTAATATAACTTAATATAGGATGATGCATTATCTTTTAGGATTAGATTTATTATTTTATTAGGAATTAAGGTTGGGTTAAAATATTATCTTATTTTATTAGGAATTAGAGTTAAGACATATTTAGTTTATTATTATTTTATTCATTAGTTATCTAAGGCCTTTAGAACTCAGCCCCTATATAAAGGAGGTTTCATTCAACTTTGTAATTCAAGATTTCTTTGATTAATAATACAATGAGAGTTCGTTTTTGCAAGTGCTGATTGCCTTGTGCCTTCGAAGCTTCTTCTCCTGGAGTTCTTTCAAGTTCTTGCGAGGGAGATTAATCTTCACACTCCAATTTGCCTTTTCATCACGACGAGGAGGGTTGGTTAGAGCCATTTATCGTGTTTGCCTTTTCATTGCGACTAGGAGGGCTCGATAGGACACTTATCCATCTATTATCCACAAATCCATTCGCACCATCAATCATCTTTACCGTTCACCTTTATAAGGGAGATCTTTTGATTTCTTGGTTATCTTATTTTATTTGCAATTCATTTATCTTTTCTTTATCTTGTTTTAATCTTATTTTTATCTTGTTTCCAGCACATAAAAGAAACCCTAAAGAATCCTAGCTGCTGTCGCCACCTTCCCCTATTCATCCCCTTTGTTCTTCACCTAGTCTAGAGCTTTCTAGGTTTGATTCTTCAACAAGAGCAAGTTCATCAATCCGTCACCACTTCCCTCTCAATTGGTATCAGAGCTGGGCCGATTCTTAGAGAGAACCAAGCAATCTTGCTTGTTCTTGAACACAAAACCGTCAAGGTATCCCAACGGAGCTAGTTCACAAACGATTCAGCGTTTCAGGTTCTTTTTATTTAATTTTAATTTAGATTTAAATCCTTCTTGTTAGTTTGCTATTTTTTTTCAAAAAAAAAAAAAAAAAAGCCAAAATTTTAAAAAAATTGCAAACGAAGGTATTTAGGGATGATTTTATCCATATATTATATTCATTCTAATATTAATCCCCAGTCCAAATTTCACCCCAATCTGAGTTCATTGGACCCTTCAAATACATCATTCAAGTTTCATCGGCAGATTCGGTTTAGAATCTTGTCGAATTTCTTGAAAAGTTTACAGGAGGAATTTCGTAATTAAATTTCCAGATTGAAATTTCATATATTGGAGATCATTCACACAAAATATCAGAATTTTTGGAGATCAAGAACAACTTCGAAAAAAGTGATCAAGAAAAACAGATTGTTTGAGGACTCACCGTTCAACAGAGTCTACTGGATACTACTGACGGTATTTGGTTCTAAAATTTTACAGGTGGTTTCTTGACGCATCGAAAGACATTCAAGAAATTTTTCAGAATTTTTGGACACCGGTAACCCCCTCAAAAACGTTGCTCAAGTTGATCCAGCGTTTTCTAGGTTTTCTGGTTTGGTCCCTTTTTCTTTGACTCTTAGTGCTTTAGGTTCTTTTGTTTTTCCTTGTTATTGTTCTTTTGCATTATCTAACACATTATCTTCTTTGTGTTAGTAGGACTAAAGAGTTTGCATACTTCTTCCTTCTTTGCATTCTCGTTCTCTTGGAGTCTAACCTTTGTTTGGCCTCTTAGAGCTTTTAGGTTTTTCTTATCGCCTTTGCTAGTAATCAAACTTCGATACGAACTGTGAAAGACTACTTGGTAAAGTGAGTTTTAAAGAGTACAAGATCGGCTTACTTGCCTCTCGTTGTGTTACTTTCTTGGAGTGACTTGTGAGGTTTCTTGCTTTGTTGAATTTATTTTATTTTTATTTTACTTTAAAATTTTCTTTTGAGTGTTATGATTTCAGGATGGGTGACAATAACAATAAGACACTTACGGCTATCTTAGCCACACTTACCCGACTCACGATTCAAGTTGAAAGATTTTATGAAATCTTGAGAGAACGAAAAAAACCACATCTGGATCTACCAAACCAGAATCCAAGACCAAACAATGCTAAACTTTTGGTACGCGGGCGAGAACAACCACGTTTTCAAGCACCCGAACTCTTTGTAAAACCAAAGTTCACGATCCCGTCTTTCAAAGGAGACAATGATCCAGACAGGTACATCGAATGGGAAGGAAAAGTTGATCTAATGTTCGCATACCATGACTGCCCCCAAGCTAAACAAGTTCACCTCATCACCACACAATTCGAAGGATATGCTCGAACTTGGTGGATGCAAACAAGGAAAAAGATCCAGAACTTCCAAATTCCAACAATCACTTCTTGGACCGACCTCAAACAAACCATGAGGAAGCGATTCCTACCGACACATTATACACGAGAAGTTAAACTACGACTAGACCGACTTCGACAAGGTAGAAGTTCAGTTGAAGAGTACTATAAGGAGATGCAGCCCTTACTCAATAGGGCTAACATAACCGAAAAAAAAGAGGTCACCGTGTCAAGATTCATCGTCGGCTTAAACTCAAACATCATTGATCTTCTTGATCTACAAGGGTATGAAAAGCTTGAAGATACACTAAAGAAAGCAATGACAATCGATATACAAATCCAAAGGAGATTCCGAGAACATTACCAAGGTACTTCATCCTCTTACCAAGGTAATCCTTCAAATCCTTCCTCATCTGCTGCTCCATCTTCTCTAAAAAAACCAAAAGATGACAAACCTGACAAGGAGAAAGAACGACCAGCAAAGAATGACACACTTCCAGACCCTAAAGATCAAATGATAATTTGTGAGGAGGTAGGGAAAGCAAAAAAAGAAAAAAACTGAGAAAGAGGCAAAAGAAAAAGAGGTCACTAGTTACAAAAGCCAAAAGAATAATGACCCATGGGAGGTGAGTGAACCTAATTGTGAGAAGAAAAGAGTGACTCAAAATCTATGTGTGAGCACAAAAGAATTGAGAGAGAACCTTCTTTACAAACAGCCTTCCATCCTTGTTCGCTTTAGAGAATCAATTGTTTCAATTTCTAACATTAACAAGGATTTGCCTAGTGTGTTTTCATCTTTGTTACAGGATTTTTGAGAAGAATTAGGTGATCCACCTGACGGATTACCACTGGAAAAAGAAAAACAACACCAAACTAATCTAATTCAAGGTTCCATCATACCTCGTCAAACATACAATCTCGAAGAAACCAAAGAGTTAGATTTGTTACAAAAAGACTACATCCATGAAAGCCTTAGTCGTAACGTCATCATAATGACGAAACATGACTTGAACAACTCCACATGCTTTATAGTTCGTGCACAGGGAATCCATGTAAATGATGAGAAAGTAAAAGCAACACGAGACTGGCCCACACCATCTTCCATCGCCAAGAGTTGTCAAATAGTGCTCGGTGACCCTCCTGACGGGTTACCACCTGAAAGCCCTAATCACTATGCCATACCAATGAAGAGTCATGATTTACGAGAGTCCAAAGGTAAATATTTATTACTCATTTTAATGACATTGTAACGTACTTCTTCTCCTTCTTACAAGGTAAGGCTCGTGAAGTTGTCATCCATACTAAACACAACTCCTTTAAGTGCGTAACATACCGAGGTAAGCAAAACACAGTAGACGATACACTACCACGAAGGTATACTCTTACCTATCAAACTCATACTACTATTCCGAGAATTGAACATATCAAAGATGTATATCATGATAACTCGGATATTTCTGATATTTCTACCCATACATTTAAAAGTGCTTTTAATGAGCTTTATCTTGTATATGAGTTTCCTTGCCAACTAAACATGTTCTACAGTCCACAAATCTCCTCCTGGGAATCATTAATTCATGAACCACACTTAGGAGACTTAAGAGATTACTTTAACAAACCAGTTGACATGGTTTTTAAACACTCATTCTCGCCACACATTAATAAAACCATGGAGAAATTATCTGAAATAATCATACAGAAAGCCAACAGTGGCCGGTGCCATGTTGAAATTCAACCAAAACATCAGATTACAAGACTTGTATGCAAAAGAGGATTTCAAGACTACAAGAAATTAGTTTCTACAAAGAAGAAACCTCGACTGAAATGCATAAAGACACATCACATTGATCCTGGTAAATGTTTCACAAGTTTTCCTTTCAACACATCTAAGTCTCTTTCACTTGGATTTTCAGATTCGAGGATGAATCCTTTTGAGGAGTGGGGGAATGATACATGCACCAGATTCCATAATACATGCTTCTTTGGACTAATATTTCTACTCGAACCTATTAGAAGAACAAAGTCTCGAAGATTCAAATTATATCTATTCGGTAAGTATAATGTGAATGAATCATTAAACGATTCTAATGTTGCTCCCTTTAATGTTTCAGATTCCAGGTCGAATCTTTTTTAAGAAAGGGATGATGATACATGCATCACAAGGCTCACATCAAAGGAAGAAGTAATAACTCTTCCAAATGATCCACTCGTCCAAGCTTTGGAAAAGAAGATCAGAACAGCAGCAGACTTACGACGACTTTTTGAATGGGATCTTGATCTTATTTGGTCAACATGTCTTCTGGAGATAAAACCTCCTGTCCCTTATCTTTCCAAAGGTTCTTTAATCGCATCAATCCAATATTGGGAACTCAATATATAGCCATTTTACTGAAGACGGTGCATACAGAAAATCTTATGCGAGATTAATACGGGATTTTGTAAATATTACGAATTTTCAATATTTTTATTGATTATTTGTAATATAACTTAATATAGGATGATGCATTATCTTTTAGGATTAGATTTATTATTTTATTAGGAATTAAGGTTGGGTTAAAATATTATCTTATTTTATTAGGAATTAGAGTTAAGACATATTTAGTTTATTATTATTTTATTCATTAGTTATCTAAGGCCTTTAGAACTCAACCCCTATATAAAGGAGGTTTCATTCAACTTTGTAATTCAATATTTCTTTGATTAATAATACAACGAGAGTTCGTTTTTGCAAGTGTTGATTGTCTTGTGCCTTCGAAGCTTCTTCTCCTGGAGTTCTTTCAAGTTCTTGCGAGGGAGATTAATCTTCACACTCCAAATTGCCTTTTCATCACAACTAGGAGGGTTGGTTAGAGCCATTTATCGTGTTTGCCTTTTCATTGTGACTAGGAGGGCTCGATAGGACACTTATCCATCTATTATCCACAAATCCATTCGCACCATCAATCATCTTTACCGTTCACCTTCATAAGGGAGATCTTTTGATTTCTTGGTTATCTTATTTTATTTGCAATTCATTTATCTTTTCTTTATCTTGTTTTAATCTTACTTTTATCTTGTTTCCAGCACATAAAAGAAACCCTAAAGAATCCTAGCTACTGTCGCCACCTTCCCCTATTCAACCCCTTTGTTCTTCACCGAGTCTAGAGCTTTCTAGGTTTGATTCTTCAACAAGAGCAACGTTCATCAATCCGCCACCACTTCCTTATCAATCGAGTGATGAATACGAGTGAAAAGTTGAACAAATTCTTCTCAATATGAATTTCTTCTTCCTTCTTCAGATGAGTTCTTCTCATTATGAACTCTTCTGGAAATGTTGATCCATTGAGTGTATGGATTCGAATCTTTGCAAAAATCTTTGAAATTCCTGTCAAATATTCAAATGGAATGAATGAAAATGCCCCTATTTTGCAAATGCCTAAATATGATGCATTAATGTTTAGTGTATTTTTTTACTTAAAAGTGGAAAACTTGGTATTCCTTCATTTGGTTAAAATGTCATTTCAAGCTGGAACTATTGTCGTAGTCAGAACTATGACCTTGATGCCCCATTTTATCTTTGATAAAATCGACTTTCTTCATCTGAACTTGTGTAAAAATCCAATAAAGCTTTCATCTTTGAAAAGAGAATCTATCATCTTTGAAGAGAGAATCTATCATCTTTGAGGAATGTAGATGTAGATATGCTAAACTCAAAAGATATTAATTAGGAGATCAGCGTTTATTCTAATTTGACTCTTGAAACACATCACAAGGAAGATTTAACCTAATTCCTTTCATGTCTCCACATCTAATCAGATCTCGATCAAGGCAACTTGGACTATATCATGTTAAGAGGCTTAACACCAACCTGTCATTCAACATTAGTCGGCTCCACTAGTTTCTTGTTGTTAAAATTTCTGCTTCCCTTATGTGGAAAGAAATCTTCATCATATCTCACTTCAAAGCTTGGTGTTGAAGAAGACAGACTTCATCATGGATCTATAAATGGAAATGCCATATGATTGCAACATTGGTTCAGCACTATAATTACTGGTTCGTAAAACACTTGACAACATATTCATCATTTACTATGGCTCGTAAAACATTTGACAACACATTCATCCAGCTGTGACTTCTGCACATATTATTTTGGTCAAGGAAGCTATTTCATAGTGTTCAAAACTTTTGTATGATGTCACAAGACCGTTTGAGAACAAAACTCAATGGGAATATAAGTAAAATGTTGGCGTGTTTCATGGCCAAAAAGTTTGTCAAATTCACAAAATATGTTAATACTGAATTGAATAAGAGATACCAACTGATCTTGATATCATCTTGAGTAAGGGCAAGTGTGATATCGATCATGTTTTCTTCCATAATGAGCATTGCAGGAAGTAGAAACACATCAACTATAGGATCTATATACAGAAGAAGGTTCATGGAATTCTTTTTACTATATATGAAACACACATGATAAACCAAATAGATGAAAATTCAGTTCACCCTGGCTGGCAATGATAACCCCAGTAACAACGGGAATAAGAATAACATAAGGTGAGCCTTTTTATTCAATGTCATCAAGTAAGCGAAAATTATTGTGAAAAACATCTTCGTAGCCCCAAAAGTATGATTGAAACTAACTGCCATGAATCTCAAAGAAATATTTCCAATCATCACCGACACACAAAATACAAAATTCAAAGTCGATATTTTGATGAACTGAACCCTAGATCGAATGGTCTTTATGGGAACCATCTTTATTCATGCAACTTTGATGTATCTTAACAAAGATCACGTTGTCATGTAACACATGGTTAAGAAGATTGGGTATTTGAAACCATACTTGTTGAGTAAATATTTGTTCAACACCAAAACCCTAATACAACTGTCTGATGAATGAAGCAATTATGTATAGTCAGCTCCATTGTTACTGTTTCTCCATTTTCATTTTTCATACCTTTCTATCTCATTGGAAATATTTTCTCAAGTCAATGATCTTTCCATAAGATGATATGGATATTTCAGCATGTCCCAACATTGGCTAATACAAACATTCAAAATACGTCAACATTCCTCATTCTGATTGAAATGGGCTTTCAGCATGCCCCAGCATTTGCTTCTTGTTGATGTGATCTTTCAAAGTACCCCAAATATTCATATTTACGTGGGCCTTCAGAATGCACCACATGAATCATTTATGTCTGAAATGGTCTTTCAAGATGTCCTGCATGGATCTGCGTGAATTGGGCCTTCAAAATACCCTCAGCCTTCAACCTTCTAAACTATAAGGCTTACTTTCAATGTTTGTTTGATTTCAATAGCATGATCCCTACGAGGTCCAATTTTGACAATGTACTGTTGTGGGTACTTGCGGTTTTATCCGTGCCTCAAATCTGTTTATCTTGAATACTCTCATTATGGTGTCACTAAACAACAGCTGTCAAGTAACTGGAGGAATTCTCTTCATGTTGTCACAAACTTAAGAAGTAATTAATCATTTTGACAGAAATGTTTAAGATATGTGCCTCTTCTGAATGAGGTGCCCATTTTTTGGATCTAGATGGATCTAGTCGGGCAGAGTGGTATAAATTGCTTGGTAATTCATTTCAGGCTGACACAGTGAACCTTGTTTTCAGTGAAGGATATTACTGGAATATACTTTTCTTTGATTATGGAGCGATCTTTCAGGATGATTTCACATATATTGATAGTTCTTCTGATACCGAGGAAATCCTGAATTCTGATTCTGATGAGGAGAATAAACTATTATACTTAACGAAAATGGGGTATTGGGAGTTTGAGGCTTCAATAGCCATGGAGAGATATGGTCTGATTCATCAATTACAGAGTTAACAGATTTTATATGTGATGCTCAAATGGCTAAGACTACTGACGCACTTCTTCTGGTAGAAAATATGAAGTCATTATGTAATGACCCCAATTAAAAGAAGAGGTAAAACTCGGGATATGATTTTTTTGAAAAGGAAGAAGCAGATGAAGATTGAGAAGAGGCCTCTTAATGAAGACTATCATGAAGTTCATCTTCTAAATCTAATGATTGGTTTTGGGGTTTTTACTGAACTAGATCAGATAACTCAAAGAACACTTCCAGAAGATGCTATTGGGCCTCATTATTTCTACTATGAGAACGTGGCACTTGATCCAGTTGGTGTTTGGACCAAAATGTCACGGTATTTATACGATGCAGAGCTAGAATTTGTAGATTTAAAGTATTTTTGTGTTGCTACATGAAAAAGGGGCTATATTCATAATCTACCAATTGAGAACATATTTCCTCTTATTCTACTTCCTCCACGCACTATACATGATGATTTTCCATTGAAAAAATGGTGTCCTTCCTGGGATCCAAGAACAAAGTTGAATTGTTTACAAACATGTACAAGAAGTGCCAAATTGATAGAAAATATTTGTAAGGCTCTTGAAACTTATGACGATGAACCACCTTTGAGTGTCCAAAAGTACATTCTTGATGAGTACTGAAAATGGAATCTAGTATGGGTTGGAAGGAAAAAAATTGTTCCACTTAAACCTGATGAGGTGGAAATACTTCTAGGTTTCCCTAAAAACCATACACGAGGAGGAGGGTCTGCTATAGACATGTTCCCCGGTGGTATCAATGTCCTGTCTCTTTTCCCTAGGATCAGTGATGCAGAGGTTGCCTTCTACTGTCTTAAAATACCTTTGAAAGTAGATGTCCAAGAACTGAATAGTGATCGGTTGGAGCAATTGATGAGTAGATTTGGCGGATATGACATTGTTGTCGGTGGTATCCTGTGTAACTTCTTTATCGGAAGAAATAAACATTATCGGGATTAATTAGAAGATTTTGTTGGTGCATTTTCTTGCAATGACTGCTACAGTGACTGCCTCTTCTACTGCTTCAAGATACACACCTACATATCCCACTCTTCCCGAACCATGGGAAGGTTTAGTTGATAGTAAAACTGGTGTTCTTTACTTTTGGAATCCTGTAACCAATGTTTTCCCATATGAAAGGCCTACAAATATAGAATCTATTCCGATGTCTTATTCTGGGCCTATAAGTTCTCATTTTCAAGTTCAACAATCTTCTGAAGGACATAATGGATATAATCCTGACAAAGAAAATGATCGGCACGGAAGAGCTAGCAATGATGTATCAAGACTTGAGCCAGCATCACGGTATAACCAGAGTGCAGGTGGTGGACTTGTTCATTCCCATAATACCCCTTAATGGGACTTATAAGCTCTGTGATGTAATCTTCTAGAGAACATGGATTGATGGCTGGGGAAAATAATTTGTCTGGTGATGCTTATCACCCTCAGTATGAGATAAGTAATAATATTTCTTGATGAATTGCTAATAATGTCATATGAGAGCTTCACAAGTTCAATTCTTCAGACTTTTTGGATTCTTATACCACTTGCTGTAAAAAAATGTTTCATCATTATGGCCTCGCTCATTCTTTTTCTCCAATAGAGGTAGAATAGGCAACAATATGCTTCAAGGACCTTCTTCATTTGAGACTGTCCTATTTGAAAATGTTTTTCCTCCTTTCTTTATCAAAGAATGAAAGAATTTTGTAAAGTATTGCTCCTTACAGGTTCACAATAGAATCAAATCATAAGCATGAATTCAATGAATATCAAATAAACCAACTATACTTTTAAATAAAAAAATCATAGTCCTATGGAAAATGTCAAAATTATTGACTGATTTAAGGTGTAGGTTGATTCTGGTAAAGTAAGGTATTTCAGGTTGTTCCAGCATATATGTCATTTTGAGCTTCCATTATCTTGAAGAAATGGTTGTTATGCTCATCTTATAGAGATACTTCTTGGTTCCAGAATGTGAGGAACATATTTGGGATGTACGGTGATTCATCAAGAGCTTAAGATTGTCTCTTATGTCGTTGTGGCACCATTCTATATTCGAGCCACCTTTTCAAGTTTTCAACTCGAATCCTCCTTTGGTTTCAAGATGTTATTTAAAAATTTACATCTTGAACCCCTTTTTTATAATTTTTCATATCATGCATTAAAGATTTAAAAAAATAATTTTTCCAAATAAAAATCAATCCTGAGAAGCGGAATGAAATATGAAGACAGTCTCTTTCACATAAAAATCCATGTATGATTAGAATGGACTTTTCAGGTACGTAACGTAGGCCAAGGCAGGGTTATGAAAGACAGAGATAAAATGGCCCAAACGATTGTTTAAGGGTAATTGAACCAAGGATCAATTCATTTTGATGACTTCAATCTTGTCTTGCTTGACTTGGATCTGCTTTGCTGGGGATGTTTCCATAAGATTCATTCCTCTCCAGCATTTCTTGTGCTTCTTGTTTAATATGAATTTTTGAACTAATTGCACTTGATCAACCTTGTAACTTGAGGCTCAATGAGTCACCCATCTTGATTCAATTTCTCATATTTTCTTTTTTTCCTTTTTTTCCTTTTTGTTTTTTTTCTGATGAATGAGTATATGACTCCCATTGCTTTGAGAACCTCCTTTTCCTCTTGCATTTCGAAAATTCTTTCATTATTCTTGAATGGATTGATCTTCAAGCACTTTGCATTTGATCTACCTTATAGTTCAAAACTCTCTTCATTTTATGAAGATTTACCTTCGTAATTGACAATATTTATCCATGTGAGCAGATATCCTTCTTCTTGCCCCCCAATGTGGAGGGTGATCCTTGGTTAAGGTTGAATCAGAAAAAATATTATAGGCTCAAAAGGGGACAACAATGGATATATATATATATATACATATATTTGAAAGGATAAATGAAACAATGTCGTTCATCATCTCATACACAGAAGCCTTTGTAAAAAGAGGTATCCCCAAGGGGATGTATATTCAAGATTAATCTTTATTTACATAAAAACAATGTAATTAATGCATGATATATTTTCCTAAATTAATCTTTTTCTTTCTTCTTTGAGTATTCCCCAATCACTCGAAATTATCTTCCATGATGTCTCCTCTCGTTTCTTCTTGCATGAAGATTCATAGATAATTTGAAAGTTTGGTTCTTTTTGAGGTCTTTTGATTTCACTGTACAAAAATGATGGTTTTTTATTTGGAAGGACAAAGGTGTAAGGTTATATCTAGATTTGGTGTCTCAAAAATAGGTAGAGACGTGACTTCAGAGTCTCAGATAAATATAGTGTCAGGATTTGATTTTTTTTGTAAGGGTCAAGTAATTGGCATTGAATGAGATATGGAATGTATAATTTTACCACTTTCCAAAGATCTATAATTCTTGAAAAGAATATTTAATTTACTTGATACTCAAAAACTTCAAGATTAAAATTTGATTCTTTGCTCATAACCATAAAAGCAATACAAATTTATTTATTGCACAAAAAGCGAAGAAAGGAACAGAAAACATATTCAAACAAGATGCTGAAAATAGAAAGTACTACAGTGGTAGATAATCTTCCACTTGTTTATTTACCTTGCATCTATCATTCCTCGAATGTTGGGTGTGTACTTGGCCCAGGATTTTCATCTTTATTTAGCCCCCATTTCTTGATCATTTCTTGGTGTAATGTATTGGCCTTTAACCAAATGAGGGTACAGATCTGAGATAGATTCTTGAAACACCTTCGGAGTTTTTCTCACTCGATAGATTATCACTTTCCTTGATCGTTCTGAACGACAAAATGCTCTCCTGTGGTCGAGGGGGTTCTGGATGTTCATTTCAGCTACAACTGGGGTAGTATTAACCGGACTCCTTAAGTTGCACCTTGCCTTACTGGTTTTCGGAAAATATGCTATAGGTATCTGAGGTGTCTTCTGAGTTATATATGCCCTATTCTTTCTTAGACCTATGGGCCAATCTCGAATTACATCCATGGTAGCCTTTTGATTTCTTTTCCCATTTTTCTGCGCCCGATATTCTTCGCAGGATTTGGTCACATTAGTCTTTCTTGAAGTAACGATTTTTGGGCATTGAACCTTAAACCCTTCTTTTATCTTGCATTTTTGAATTTCTTTCTCTAAAGGATCTTGGAAATTTCCCTCGAGGTTACTAGGAACCTTAGCTAAACAATTTGGAATTCTAGTTTGGTTTATCCAAGGAACATCCTTATAGGTCCAATTCTCATTTGGAGGCCACTGTGGTTGAACAAGTCGTGGAGTAGTTAATCTGGCTGAGAGCATTTTTTGATGCAATTTTTCATTCGAATAGTAGAAGGGAGGAAATTGAAAACTCTGCACATCCTTTTTCTTCTTGATCACTCTATAAGGTTTGGCACCACGTTTAACTGAACAAGACCTCACTGTATTAATCTCAGGTTCTTTCTCGACGTTAGTATTGTCAGAGCCTCTTATCTTGTCATTCTTGATAGCCATCTCGATCATTTCTCCACCCATGATGATGTTAGAAAAGTTATTAGTGGCAACCCCTATCATGTGATTAATATAGGGAAATTTTAATGTACTGATGAACAAAGTAGGGAACTCCCTTTCAATCAATGGTGGATGCACTTGAGAAGAAACGTCCCTCCATCATTGTGAATATTGTCGAAAGCTTTCATTGCACTTCATATTCATGTTATGCAACATTGTTTGATTAGGGGTCATATCAATCATGTGCTTGTATTGACCCAAAAAAGCTTGAGCTAAGTCTTTCCAAGAACGTATTTGAGTACGTTTTAGCTGATTATACCATTTGGATGCAGACCATGATAAATTATCTTGGAAACAGTGGATCAACAACTTTTCATTCTCTAAATAGCCACTCATACGACGACAATACATAGTGATATGATATGAAGGGCATGTGGTTCTTTTATACTTCTCAAAATATG